ACACTTGAAAAAATATTTGACAGATAAATTTTTGTTTCCTGTCATTCAGTTGCTTCATATCAATTCTCAAAATTGTCATCCCTCAAAATTTATGTTAACCTTTCTTTTTTTGGATGAAACTCTATCAGAGATAAATGTAATGGTGTGACTAAGCAAGGCAGTAAGAGGTGGGCAGTGGCAGAGCTACTAAGCCATAGCAACTGGTCTTGCTATACAAATTTTTAGCAATTTGAATTATTCAAGTATTTAGAAATTTATTGTCTTTGGACTGCTTAAGTTTGCATTTATTACCACAGCACAGCTATGATTAGCTCCGCCACTCATTAGACTGATAAGGAGTCACCCCAATGTCAGTCACATACCAAGACCATTCTGGGTGGGGGGACGGTCCTATACAGCCTTTTCGTGTTACGGACTAATTCAACTTTTTTATCCATTTACTGACCAGTTTCAATCAATATACCAACAAGTCACATTTTTCAACATAATCTCTGTTTATTAACAAAGAGTTTTTCAGAAAGTGTGGGTGTCGTACCTCTCACCACACCCATCCAGCTTGGTATGGCAGGGGTGGATTTACTGGGGGGATGGGGGGGGGCACCCCCTAGCCCTGGTCAGAGGGGGTGCAGGGGGGGTGCTATTTTCCATGATAAAGCAAAAAAGAAAAAATGAGATACAGTAATTTGAGTAATAATATGATGATAAGTGAACTGTGAACAACAATTACAATTCAAATACAGTAGTTGATGGGCGGGCAGAACACATGACCGACACAACTCGGCAGTCGGCACCAGAGCAACCCCCCCCAAGTACCAATGGATCATGCTGGATTCATCCCTGTGGTATGGGCCTGTGTCTGCCACTCCTTTTTGAAAGAATATCGCCCGTATTCTAAAAGCTCACTTACACTCACATTCAATGAGTGGAGGTTCAATCTGAGCAAGTGTCATTGCTGTTTTTGAATAGCTGGAGGGCTAGTGTCGTACCTTACTATATGTGACTGCTCACCCTCCAGCTATTCAAAAACAGCATTGACACTCGAGAGAAGCTCAGATTGAAATTCCACTCATTGAGTGTGAGTGAGCTTTTAGAATACAGGCTTAAGACTAATAAATATCAAGCTAATATAAAATTCTAAACAGCATCTATAGATTTTCCATTCTATTCAATGTCTTTTCTTTCATAACAGGCCTAAAAAATAGGTACGTGATGCATACATGTATCTACGAAAAAAGTTGATTCACGTTTTGTATTTTCTTGAAAGAAACTGAATAATGAAGATGACATGGGACAATTGAAATATTTCATCACTTATTATAAAAGCAGATAAGATTTAAAACAGGGCTGTACACAGCGGAGAGTGCAGCAGGGCAAGTGCCCCCCACCCCCGCACCGAGAAAACTTAACTAACTTTATAATGTGATTACGATTGTAACAGATAATTATGCAGTCAGGAAATAAAAATTTCATGCGAAGAATATTCAAAGTGTCTATACAGCCGGCTATTTAGTAAACTGTCACCTGTCAATTCAATCCATACTCATCAAATTTTCAAAACTGTATTGTAATCATATGAAGCAAAAGTTATGTCACTTGTTGTTTACACTTGCCAATGTTAATTGTTGAGTAACATACACAAAATATTTGGTGTACATGTTGAAGACCACTGAATAATTGAGAATGTTTTGAAGGTCATGAGTGAAGTATATAATTAAATTCCTGTTCTGTGCACAGTTAATGATATACCACACTGTTCGGTTTAACACGTACAGCACATTCACACAAAAACAATTGTGTTGTGGGAGATTATCGGTTTGAGTAGAAGGTATCACAAGTTTAGTTTTGTACATTGTGTGCCATATTGATCAAATCCACCATATAATATATGATTATTCATTGTAGCTGTTAAGTTATTTTCCATACTAATGAATTTAGGTAAGATTGTCTTGCAAGTTGGTTGTTCTGACAAAATTATCCAGCCAATATCCAGTACATTTATTCTTCATTCTTGTATTAATCTCTAAAGAAAAGTATTTATAATTAGAAAGCAAAATGACAATGTAATGAGGCTCGGGAGGGTGAGGATTCTTTTATTTAAAAATGTTGGTAAAACTTTTGTTTAATTAACTCTAATGTACGTGTAAAACCAAAATGTATAAGTATTTTAACTGATAACATATCTTCAACCTTTTT